CCGGGAACAGGGCGGACAAGCTTGTGCGCCCGCCGTTCCACAGAACCCCGTCTATTCTTGAAACTCAGCGAGCTGCTAACGGGCTCGTTTCCTCTTCTCAGTAAGTGCTGTTTCAGGTCTTCTCCACAGAGCTAGATCTCCGCCCTGCGGGTTTTACCACCGGGACGAGATGGGGAAGGGTGGCGGGGAGCGAGCGGGGAGAAGCCAAGTGGGGAGAGAACTCTGAATTTCCCGACCCCCTCCCCTCTCCCATCACATCTACCTGGAATTGGCCTCTGGCTCCTGTTCCTTTTTTTCTCCGCTGACCCCCCCCATTCCCATCGCCTGTCCAGCTCTGTCCAAGACTCACAGATCCGACGTCTGTCCCACGGACGCTTCAAAGGACCATACTCAAGTGAGGTCCTCCCCTCTTCCCGCCTCCCAGACCCAGCCTCTTGTCTCCACCTCTCCTCCACTTCGTCTAATCAAGAATCAAGCGCTGTCAAGTCCATCTCTTAAGACATCTCTGGCATCCGTGCCCTGCTGTGGGTCCCACACTGACCACTAATGTCCTCTGGAACCTACATCACCTTCACCCTCTTCACTCACCTCGCCGCTTGCGCTCCTGCCCTTCCAAGCGATTCTGCAGTCACAGCGGTTTCTTCCCAGTAGATTCCCACCTTTTAAAACAGTCCCCCCGCCCCGCCCTCCTGCTGAAAACATGTGAATGGCTCCCGCTTGTTCTCGGCACCAATCTAAAGCTCTCAGCTTAGCCTTCCAGCCTTCACGATCTGCTCCTGCTCAGCTTCCCACACCTCGGGTTCAGAGCCCCGCTCCAGAGCTGCTCGCCTGGCCTTGGTTTCTGCTTTCCTCTCTCTCTCTCCCTGACCTGCCTTTCCCGGACCTCTTCCTCTCTCTCACCCTCCCTGGCCAAGCCCTTTCCGCTCGGGCGATGCCCCTTAGTGGGATTTCTCCGGGAAGCCTGCCCCAGGCTGAGTCGGGGCTCTTCCTGCGCTCGGCCTTGCTGACGGGATAGGAGCACGTCGGGCTCTCAGCCGAAACGGCCTGCTCACCAGCGTGTCTCCCGGCTCACATGCGCGCTCGCCCAGGGCGCGGTGCGGGTGCCCAGTGCCCAGCCAGCGCTCAGCACACTCAGGGACTGCGGGGAGGAAAAAGCGCAGGAAGGAGTGCTCCTCTGCATCTTCCATCCCCCGCCTCGCCTCACCCGGGACTGAGGGACGGGACAACCCACAATGGGGCCCTGGAGCCACCTGCTCCGTGTGCGCAGCTTTCTCTTTCTGACTGCTTTTGTGCCGCTTTCCCAAAGGCCCAGGGCAAAGGGCGTCCAGGGCTCAGTCTGAGGACCCCTTCCGGAGAGCCCCATCTTGCTGACCCCCCTTTTGTCGCCTGCAGGAGAGGGAATTCAAGGTGGACGTGCCGGAGTACCTGGGGCCGCTGCTGTTCGTGAAGCTGTGCAAAAGGCATCTCCTTCAGAGTGACGCCTGGTTCTGCAACTGGATCTCCGTGCAGGGACCGGGGGCCAGTGGGGATGAGTTCAGATTCCCATGCTACCGCTGGGTGGTGGGCGACGACATCCTGAGCCTGCCCGAGGGCACTGGTGAGCGTGGGCGTGGGGGTTGTGAGAGGCCTCGGGGTGGGGGGGCACAAGAGAAGCTGGGGTCTGGGGAGCAGAGAAGAGGGCTTGGGGGCAGTTAGAGGGGCGATGCGGGAGCTGGCGCAGAGCCGGTGGAGCAGAGGGGAGCGCAGTGATGCCCAAGGGCGGGCTGAGGGACCCTCGGCAGGGACAGGGCAGAGGCTCTTAGGAGGAGCCTCATGGCCGGTGCCCTTCTCCCCATTTCTAGGCCGCACGGTGGTCGATGACCCTCAAGACCTGTTCAAGAAACACAGGGAGGCGGAGCTGGCAGAGAGAAGGAAGCAGTACCGGTCAGCGGCACTCCCGCCCCCTGACTCCCGACCCCGCAGGGAGCTGCTTCCCTTCGCCAGGACCAAGCCTGCTTTCATTTCTGCCGCAGGTGGGGTAACTGGAAGGAAGGGTTGATTCTGGGTATCGCCGGGGCCAATCTACGTGACCTCCCTGTAGATGAACGATTTCTGGAGGACAAAAGAATTGACTTTGAGGCTTCGCTGGCCAAGGGGTAAGAATGAGGAGGGCTGGGTGACAGGGAGGTGTCCCGGTCCGGTGGAGGCCAGTGAGTTTCTGGACTTCGCAGGGCTGGGCCAGCCCTGGTGGATGCCTGCAGTTGTGAGGTTTGATTCTGAGACTAACTCTCTTACTCTTTGCCTGTCCTCCCCTGAAGGCTGGCAGACCTAGCTATCAAAGACGCTTTAAATGTTCTGACTAGCTGGAACAGTCTGGATGACTTCAACAGGATTTTCTGGTGTGGCCAGAGCAAGCTGGCTGGTCAGTACGCCTACCCAGTATTTCCCCAGGACTTTTACCCCCAGATCCCACCCAGTCTAGAGAACCAGGCTTGGGAGACCAGAAGCCTGGGCCCCTCTGGTAGGCTGGGGTCAAGTGGGGATGGTTGAGGTGGTTTGGTGGGGGTGGGGAGGACCAGGAGGTCGGTTCCCACAGCGAGCCCTGCCACTGCCATCCCCAGAGTGGTGTGGGACTCCTGGAAGGAGGACGCTTTATTTGGGTACCAGTTTCTCAACGGCACCAATCCCATGTTGCTGAGGCGCTCTGTGCGCCTTCCTGCCCCCCTCGAGTTCCCTCCAGGGATGGAGGAGCTGCAGGCCCAGCTGGAGAAGGAGCTCCAGGTAAGGACATAAGAGCCTGAAGGCGCTCACACAGTGAAATGGGGGTGGGATCAGCATTTGTGATTCTGCGGGGTCCACTGGGGGCACAGCCTGCTGCCGGATGGCAAGAAGGGGTTCTCCAGCAGAAATCCTGAGGGGATGGGAAACTCCATGACCTTCCTCCGCAAATGAGAACAGTGTGCTGTGGAGCAAGGGTGTGTGATGGGGGACAGAGACAAAGCCAAAATGAAGAGCTGGAACTGGACCTTGGTGCTAGGGATTTATGGAGGGCACAGAGTAAGAGAATCAGGGCCAGGGATGGGTCTGTTAATGGGGAGTTGGCATGGAACCATGGAGAGAGAAAGCTCATGGCATTTAGGGAGAGACTGACTTGAGTTTGAATCCTGGCTGCGCTGTTTATAAGCGGTGTGACTTCAGGCAAGATACCTATCCTCTCTGATCATCTGTTTCCTCTTTTATAAAACCGGGCTAATTCAAATGCATCTAAGAATTATATGAGGCAATAAGGACATGACCCACTATCTGGTATGGAGTAGGTGATCGAGACAAGTTAGTTGTCTTCTTTCACATCATCCTTCGGTGAATCAGGGTGGGAAGAAGATGCCTTATGCTGATAGCAGCCCTTGCCCTCTGCCCCCATCCAGGCAGGCACACTGTTTGAAGCTGACTTCTCGCTGCTGGATGGGATCAAGGCCAACGTCATCCTGTGTAGCCAGCAGTACCTGGCCGCCCCTCTGGTTATGCTCAGACTGCACTCTGACGGGAAGCTCTTGCCCACGGTCATCCAGATGAGAGGACCTAGCATGTCTGCTCCCCAGCGGTTGACCCTCTCTGCTCAGCCCCCCACCCCGGTTCTCTGAGTACCCACCTTCATGCCCTGGGGGTGGCATTAAAGGAGGAAATGGGAAATGGAGGAGAGCTGCACTCTAGGTGAGGAGACAGACTAGACCGGGTGGACACATCTGAATAGGCTCCAGTGTCAAGGAAATCCACGAGGATGCAGACATCCTGGGAGGCTTCACTGGAGGTGGGATGGGCTGGAGCCTTTTGGTACAGTCAGGGCTTAGATCTTCCAGCAGGAGGAATGGGCAGGACTCCCCTCCCCCAGGGCAAAATGGGCTGGGCAGAGAGGCTGAGGTGCAACTGAGTGCGCAGCAGTCAGGAGATGCCCAGGGGACACATGGGCTGGCACGATGGGGAAACAGGGGAGGGGAGAGGGGTGAGAATGTGGTGGGCTGTGGATGCCAAGCTCAGAACTATGAACATGGGACACGGGTGAAGGCTATTGTGACAGATGCTGTTGGCACATTCGGGCCAGTGTGTTTAGGATGGATTGTGGCAGGGAGATGTTAGAGACGGAGAGGACAAGCTAGAGCAATCATCCACAGAGGTGATGGGCTTAGAAATGTGGGAAACAGCTGTTGGGAAGGGAGGAAAGATGGAAGGGAGTGCAGAGGTAAACTCAACTGGCCTGGATTCCAGCAGAGAGGGAAAGGAGGGGTCAGGCAAGGTACCAGCCCATACAGGACAAATAAAGTGGAAAAGATGCTCACGCAGGCTTTTGTCTGGGTCGATTTTGAGGTGACAGCGAAACATTCAAATTGTAACATCGAGCTAATGACTGGCGGAGAACTGGAGAGTTAGTGGAGTAGAGGTGGGTTTGGAAGATGGGAGAGAGGCTGAGATTTCTGAGGAGTGTGGGATGAAGGAAGCAGAGGGTTTGAATCTTGTCCACCCTGAAGGACTGAAAGGGGAAGTGGGGCCGGGAAGGCAGTGGGAGAGCAGTTTTCCACAGAAAGCTGAGGGTGGAGCCTCCTGCCCAGTGTTAATGGCTGGGTGGGCGGGGAATGGAGAGGAAGGCACAGCTGCTTGAGGGGAGCAGCGGCAGGCAGAAGCGGAGGCTAGCAACTTTGAAGGAAGCAGGCAGAGTTGAAACAGGCAAGGAAGGGGAGTCTGTTGCGCACCTGGCCCTGGTCCCCCTTCTTTGCACTCTTGTCCCTGTTCCAGCTCGAGCTGCCACGCAAGGGATCCCCCCCGCCACCGCTTTTCCTGCCCACGGATCCCCTGATGGCCTGGCTCCTGGCCAAATGCTGGGTCCGCAGCTCCGACTTCCAGCTTCACGAGCTGCATTCTCATCTCCTGAGGGGACACTTGATGGCTGAAGTCATCGCCGTGGCCACCATGAGGTGCCTTCCATCCATACATCCCATCTTCAAGGTGACACCTCGTCCTGTCTCTCCTGCCTGCCCCACTCTCTGCCACACCGCCGTCCCGCCTCTGGAGGCATCTTCTCTCTGGAATCCCAGGGTTTGGGGAGAGTCACTAATGAGAGACCAAGTAGCAAGGGAGTGAGAGCTTGCTCCCTATTTTTACTAGTGCGCTAGCCCTTTTCAAGGAGGTGAAAATGACTCACTGGCAGGGTGGGTGTAGTGGGAGGGCGAGGAGGTGGGGATGAGAAGTCTTGCTCTTTTTATGTATAAAACATGGATCTACATATGACATATAAACAATACACACAAATGACTGAGGATTCCGTCCAACAAGAGGGGACTATGCAAATAATAGAAAAGACTTCTCCAGCCAGTTTTGAAGACTTCTCAAGCAGTAACACATGGGCCACTCAGAGGGGCTCCGGTTAACGGCAGGAGCCTGGTTCATGACAATTAGAACAGCGTGGTCATCCTTTAGCACTTTTCTTGGGTGCCTCCTTTGGGGCAAATGACCATTCTAGATGCCAGTCCTAAGCAAGATGGGGAAGTTCCTGGTCTTTGGGGATTTTCGTTTCCATTATAGGGCAACAGACAATAAAGACAGTATTGTAACAGATCAGCTGGGAGAAGTAGAGCAGTAAGGCAGGGAGTCAGCGCAGGATGATGTGATGGCGAGTTTAGACAGGTTTTCGGGAAAGGCTCCTTTGAGGAGGTGACACAGAGAATGAAATTATACGGAGCCAGCCATGAGATGATCAAGGGGCACATTGCTCTAGGCAGAGAGAACAGCTTATGCCAAGGTCCTGAGTTAGGAACAAGGTTGGTGTGTTTCAAGGACAGAAAGATAGCTAGTAGCACGGACAAAGGAAGAGGCGAGGAGGTGAAGTTCCAAAGGTCGCAGATTAGACCATGGTTTCGGGGCAGGGCACAAAAATCTTCTCACTTTTATGTATAAAGCACATATATACATAGTGTACTTAACAGCTATATAGTGTATCTATAGCATTAAAATTGCACGCTTCGAGGTGGTGGCGAGAATAGGACAAAGACCTTAAAAGGCTCTTTAGCGGAGTGAGCATGAAAAAACGGTGGCAAAACACTGAGCTAGACCTTGAACAGCCTACGTGAAGTGGAGAATGATTTCTTTCAATTATCAAAGAGCATTAAGTCAGTAGTGTCAAGGGGCCACTGGACTTCAGTCTCTGCTTTGCGGAGAGACCTGGGACCTTGCCTGCTTTGCAGCCCTTCTCTCCTGCGGGGACGGACCCCCACTGTCTTCTGATCCTGCCTTTCCCTGTTCCTTCCCTCTAGCTCCTCATCCCCCACCTGCGATACACCATGGAAATCAACATCCGGGCCAGGACTGGGCTGGTCTCTGACTTTGGAGTTTTTGACCAGGTATGAGGAGAGAAAGGGGGATCCTGGAGTTTACACTCCCTCTGTGTGTGGCAGGTGGATTTGTCTGACCCACTGGCCTTGCTCCTCAGGTGGTGAGCACAGGTGGCAGCGGCCACGTGGAGCTGCTCAAGCGAGCGGGAGCCTTTCTAACGTATAGCTCGTTCTGTCCCCCGGATGACCTGGCTGACCAAGGCCTCCTGGGAGTCAAGTCTTCTTTCTATGCCGAAGATGCCCTGGGGCTCTGGAAAATCATCTCTCGGTGAGGCAGGGGGAAGACACATCTGGGGTGGGGTGGGGATGGAGGCTGGGAGAACAGGAGGTCTGTGCACCAGTTTGGGGGCAGTGGGCCCCGGCCTGGCTGTACCCACGAGGAGCAGAGGGCCGGCGGGCCCCCTGTCAACCGCAGCCCTCTTGCCCTGGTCCCTGCGCTGGCAGCTACGTGGCGGGAATTGTGAGTCTCCACTATGAGACGGACGAGTCTGTGAAAGAGGACCTTGAGCTGCAGACCTGGTGTCGGGAGATCACTGAGGTTGGGCTGCTGGGGGCCCAGGACCGAGGTGAGTTGAGCCCGGAAATCTCCCACACGAGAGATTCCTCCTGGGAACCCCCAGAATCCTCTCTACTTCTATGGAAACATTCAGAAGCATTTCCAACCCCTACAAAAACACCCAAAGCCTTCCGAAATTTCTTTTGCTCTCAACTAGAGACAGGTCCCCATCCTGTACACGGATGCAGTGGGACCAGTGGTTGTGTATAAACGTTTAACAACTGGCTCTCTAGGGGGAAATATGCCCTAATTTGTAGCCTTTGCCCATTTCCATGGTGTAAATATTCACAGCGAGGCTTCCAAGGGGATGTCAGCCAGCCTGCTACATATCTGCACATTTGCCATCATTGGCTCTTGTGAGCCTGTATGAGCCACATCAGGACCCCGTGGGTGGGACCCACTCAGCAGAGCTCCCCACTGCCTCCACCCCAACCCCTGCTCATGGCACTTCCCACAATAGTTACCAAGAGTCCTTGGCGTCCTTCTCGCGTCTCTTGTTCTCCCCCTCGGTCCCTCTGAGCTCTGCCTCCGTCCCTGGCCTCATAGCTTCTAACTCTCCCTCCCCACTGAAGGGTTTCCCGTCTCCTTACAGTCCAAGCACCAGCTTTGCCACTTCGTGACTATGTGCATCTTCACCTGCACTGGCCAGCACTCCTCCAATCACCTGGGCCAGGTGCTTATCATGGCGAGCAGCCGGGCATTTTCGCCTGGAGTAGGGAGGGCCGCTGTGGGAAGGTGGGCCGCGGGATTTCCGTGCTTAGCAGACACTGACGGTAGCTATCCGCCCCTCCACAGCTGGACTGGTACGCTTGGGTCCCTAACGCGCCCTGCACGATGCGGCTGCCCCCGCCAACCACCAAGGATGTGACACTGGAGGTGGTGATGGCAACACTGCCCAACTTTCATCAGGCTTCTCTCCAGATGTCCATCACCTGGCAACTGGGCAGACGCCAGCCCATTATGGTGAGAGCCTGGTGCCCGGGTCGCAGGAAAGCGGGTGGATGCAGGGAGGTGTGGCACCCCAAACTGAGCATCAGTCCAGCTCTTAGCTGCCTTTTCCCCTCCATTCCAGGTGGCTCTGGGTCAGCATGAGGAGGAGTATTTTTCAGGCCCTGAGCCCAAGGCTGTGCTGAAGAAGTTTAGGGAGGAGCTGGCTGCCCTGGATAAGGACATTGAGATCCGGAACGCAAAGCTGGACTTGCCCTATGAATACCTGCGGCCCAGCCTGGTGGAAAACAGTGTGGCCATATGAGCACCCCCAGCCTTTGGCTGCTTCAGTCCCCTTCCAGCCAAGCCACACCCACCGCTTAGTGCTGTCAGTCTTGCCTGCCCGGAGCCCCATCCTCTTCCCAACTCCCACCCTCAAAGAGTCACCTTTTCAGTGTCTATGCCTAGTGAGATCACACTTAACTCTGGACGCCCCACCTAGGGACCCCAGTCCTCATTTCTTCCTCCGCCTCCCCTTTCTCCTTCATCTTACAGATCTCCCACAAGGCAGATAACAGCCCCACTGATACAAAGGGTTTCAAGAATAGAACAGGGTAATAACACAGTTTATTCTACAGGAATCAGATAGGATTTTGAACCTAAATCGAGCTTAATATCAAGAAAAATATATTTGAGACTAATGAAAGAAAAGAATTTAGTCCAAACGATCCTAAAGCAAACACTGGCAAAAGAGTATACCACTCGTCTTTCTAACCAGGTAGGATTTCCCACCTGTCCTGAAACCAGACACAACACAAAGCCAACCATTAACACAGCAATTCTCAAGATTTTCATTTCATGGCCGACTTACAAAATCATCCGTGCAAGTAAGTAACTCCCAGCTGGAGGAATTTGGCTTCGGGGTTTTGCCGGCGGGATCCATATCTATAACCCTTTTGATGTTCACCTTTTGCTCCAAATTAAAATAATCAACTGGAAAAATACTAAAAACCAATCTCATCATTTTAACGAGGGACAACAAAGGAAACAATAAAATCCAACTTCGGTGTCTGATTAAAATTTTGCAAAAATAAACTTGGAAGTTTGATTTCTTCCTATGATCATCCATGGATATTTTAAGACAGAAACTAACAGGAAGCAACAGCCAAAACTGTTGTGTTTACAGTGTGAACACAGTTGCTTCTTGCCTCTAATTCTGTTTAATTTGGCAGAAGACATATGGATAATGCTTGATGCGATTCTTGATGGAAGAATAGGAAACAAAGAGCTGAGAAGGGCGGGCAGAGCTTAGCGCTGGGATCTAGGAGAGCCCCCAAGGTCAGAGAGAGCCTGACACAGCTCCGCCCTGGGAACAGCAGCGTGGTGATTGGTGCAGCGCGGGGAGGAGGAGCAGCTAGAAGAGAAGCGGAGGGAAGGGGTGGCCTCGTGAAGAACATGTTTGATGCCAGAAAATGAGGCTTGACCTTTAGGAAACAGCCAGTGAAGGATTCTAAGTAAGCGAACGACAGGGTCCTGGAAGTCACTCACAGAGGCACCCAGTTCTCCTTGGAGGCCACACCCTCTTTTCCTTCGAAGCCACACCCCTTCCCTTTGGGGGCCACACCCTTATGATTGGTTCCTTGTGGTTGGATCCTTCCATTCTGACATCTTTTCTCCTCACTCCCTAACAGAGAAAACTTCACATCCCAGTGCTTTCTGGGAATGAATCTTCTAGAGCCACAGGTTTATTTCAAACAGGCTTGTATGGAGAAAACCAAGACACGTGGTCTGGATGTTCTCCAAGACATGATATCATGGATCTTAAGAACCAGTGAAGTTACAGAATAAAAAGTGAGATCATAATGAGCTACGTTACTTTTTTAAGAGTAAGCTAGGAGTGAAATTTCTGGATCATTTGGTAATTCCATGTTTAACTTTTTGCAGAACTCTCAAAATGTTTTAAAAAATGGCTATTCCATTTACATTCCCACCAGGAATTTCTCCACATCCTCACCACTGCTTCTTATTTCTTCTTCTTTTGCTTATAGCCATCCTAGTGGATGTGAAGTGGTATCTCATTCTGGTTTTAATTTGCATTCTCCTAATGACTAATGATGTTGAGCATCTTTTCACATCTTTATTGGCCATTTATATACCTTCTTTGTGGCAATGTCTATTCAAATCCTTTGTACATTTAAATCTTGGGTTATTTGTCTTTATTACTTTATTATAAGAGTCCTGCATATATTCTGGTTACTACACCCTTATTAGATACATGATTTGCAAATATTTTCTCTCATTCTCTAGATTGTATTTTTACTTTCTTGATAATGTCCTTTGCTGAAGTCTTTTTTTTTCTTCAAAAGTTTTTGTCATTGTTATTGAAGGACATCTTTTTCTTTTATTGCTTTAAAGATGTCTTTCCATTGTCTCTTGACTTACATAATATTTGATAAGAAGTCTGCAATAAGTTTAATCTTTATTGCATTGTACATAGTGTGCTTTCTCTGAGTGCCTTTAAGCTTTTATCTTTTTTTTATGGTGAGATCATTTTATTTATTTTTGTTTGTTTTTTTAAACATTTTTTATTGATTCATAATCATTTTACCTGTTGTCTCAAATTCCAGTGTACAGCATAATTTTTCAGTTATACAGAAACGTATATATATTCATTGTGACATTTTTTTCTCTGTGAGCTACCATAAGATCTTGTATATATTTTCCTGTGCTATACAGTATAATCTTGTTTATCTGTTCTACAATTTTGAAATCCTAGTCTATCTTTCCCACCCCCACCCCCTTGGTAACCACAAGTTTGTATTCCATGTCTATGAGTCTACTTCTATTTTGTATTTATGTTTTGTTTGTTTTTTTGTTTTTAGATCCCAGATATGAGCAATCTCATATGGTATTTTTCTTTCTCTTGCTGGCTTACTTCACTTAGAATGACATTCTCCAGGAATATCCATGTTGCTGCAAATGGCGTTATGTTGTCGGTTTTTATGGCTGAGTAGTATTCCATTGTGTAAATGTACCAACCTTCTTTATCCAGTCATCTGTTGATGGACATTTAGGCTGTTTCCATGTCTTGACTATTGTAAATAATGCTTCTATGAACATTGGGGTGCAGGTGTTATCCTGAAGTAGGGTTCCTTCTGGATATAAGCCCAGGAGTGGGATTCCTGGGTTACACAGTAATTATATTCCTAGTATTTTGAGGAATCTCCATACTGTTTTCCAGTGGCTGCACCAAAATGCATTCCCACCAGCAGTGTAGGAGGGTTCCCTTTTCTCCACAGCCTCT